AAAAAAAAAAAAAAAAACGAAGGAAAAATACAATTATTGTTAGTTAAAACAAAGTTAAACAATGAAAAGAGAAAAGGGAATCAACAACGAAAACCAACCAAAAATATTTTCAAATATGTATTATTGCTGTATGTCCCATTTTTCGTTACCACATAAATCGCTGAAGTGCTCCTGGTTCATGCTTCCAAACAAACGGTTTCAAGAAAAATAAATACAGAACTATCAAATTGATACCGACAGCGTATAGCAGCTCAACGACAAGAGATACCTTTGTATTATCAGTTAAACATAGCCGCCACAACACGAACGGAACAATAAAGTAACGAGTTTCAAAAAGAGGCAACGGCACAAGAACTGCCGCAATGGCTAATAAAGATAATAAGGTAATGTGCGAAGCAATATGTTTAACAGAACATCTGATCAAATAAAAGCAATATAGATAAAATGGTGCAACAACATATCGACAAATCCAATGCCGTCGAAACCATTTTCTCCAGATGTAAAATGTGAAATGTCGATTGTCAGCCAGCAAATATGGATGTTCAATGGTAAAGAAATATGCGCAACATGCCATAACAGCACAGAAGCAAAGACTACGAAGAGGATGGACAAAAAATTCCCGTAATGCCTTCTTCAGATGCCCAGTAAAAAAAAAATAAGGTGCTGCAAGTATACATGTGAAACTAAAAAAATAGCATAACTGCATGATATGCAGTTTTGGTTCGTGAGCGTGATGATCGCCAAGAACAATTCTAAAGTTATTCAAAATAAAAAAGACAACAAATCCCAAAGCCAAAAGAATCAAAGCCCGTAAGCGCATTAATCCGTGAATAAATGACTGAAAAAAATTATTAGGATCAATTATATGAATCAAATTAACGCCTCCGTATAATCCAGCCCAAATGATATTTGTTTGACGTGTTAAAACTGCAAAAAGAAAAAAAATAGATGCCCAGCCAGGTGATGAACAACTGAAACCCCAAAGCAGCACAGTAACAGATAAGAGGTCAGTATAATACAGCAGACTTGAATGAAACAAAACTGGAAATAAAAGAACGATTAAAGCTGTACTATATAAACGTTTTTCAATTAAGAATTGTTTGCGGAACCGTATTGCTCCAACATAAAAAAAGGGAATAAGTAACGAATTTGTATATCTTTCGTGTCCACACAAACCGAAGAGCGATAAAATATAGAGAGCTGGTGGAGTTGTAATTTTTTCGTTCCAGCTGAAACACATTTCTTTACTATAGGCTCAAAACCAGAGACTAGCAAAAGATTAAAAACAGAGATAATATAAAAGAAGTCGACAAGTTAACAAAAAAAATAAAACATACAATTCATGCAAAAAAATTAAAAGTTCCATAACCCTTCAAAACAAATTTGCACATCCCGTCTTTAAATCGTTTACCTCAAATGCAGCTAAAATTGGAGGTGCAGATGAAATTTTTTACAGCTCTAACAAGCAATCTTTTTTCCCTATTCATAAACACCATCTTCTTCTTTAACTTAAAAAAATGGAATAAAACAAGCTAAAAATTTTACACATAAACGAACAAGCTAAACCTGCTACAGCAGCGAAATTGGCAAAATTTTACAAGGAAATTCAATTTAGTCTTCTCGAAAATAAACAGATATGAGTGATGAAGACGTCGGTGACGAAGCTAAAGGTTCAAAAAGTGAATGTTTCATGACCCCCAAGTTAACATATTCAAGCAAAGAGAAAACAAACAGAATAGACAAATGTAGTTTACAATTTAGTTTTTTAACGCCTTGTTGTCAAACAGTTTTATACGTCACGTACCTAAAGTCCAAGCTACAGAACCTACGAACCTGATCTATGTGGAAAATTTCATCCATATACGGCTCTGGAACCTGTTTATTGGTAAAAGAAACCAAAAACGAGTGAAGAACTCCTAAAAAGACTCCTAGAACCCCTGAAAATAAATTTCTTTAGAAACGATTCAACTCTTTTTCCCTACTCAGACTATAAAGTGAGAAATTAGAAGTAATTACTACCTGTTATTATTAAGTGCAAGAAAAAGTTACTTCACAGTAAAACCGAAAACAAAACTAAGCTGAAGAGTAATAGCTACAATACAGTTACATCTCTTTTTGTTTTTTTTTTCAGTAACTATTAACAAACGAATTTAATCTATAAACCAGCTCCAGAAATAATGACATATTAATATATCATAAACTTTTTTAAAATCAGGCGAGTTACAAAAGATTACAGGAATTAAGCACACATGTCAGCGTTCGCGTCAGTCAATATCTTGAAGTTTTTCAATTCCCGCTGAGTGGTGGGAAGTGCTCTAACATGCAAAACTGAAAAGAATACCTCACCAAGTGCTCTCATTTGAAATTTGCACTCTTCAACAGCTAAAGAAAATAGCAGTTTTGAACGGTTGTCACCAGCTTTACTCATCTCAAAACTACATACTTTTGAAGTTGTTTTAACAGTTTCATTTTCGGTCGTTCAGTGATTTTTATGCTTCTACTTTTCCTTGGAATCTACAAAATTATTAACTTATCTCCAATTTGAAAACTGAATTCTCAATCTTGCGGTGAAAAAACACCAAAGTTTCTTTGTTTTCCAGAGAAGTGGGTTTTGTGTAGAACTTTTGGTTCTTCAAAGCCCGGTCTACAAGATGGTGCAACAAAGGACAAGTTGACCTCGAAAAAAAATGAGGCGATATCATGAAAAATGCACTGTAACTCATAATTTCTTCTTCTAAGCTGCTGAAAAATCTCGTTGGCTACTTCGGTTTACCGTAGCTAAGAGCAGTAAATCGTGAAGCTATACATGTAGCACGATGAGTCAGTATCCAGATTGCGCAACTGGCGGAATAGTGTTCCAGGGCGACTTTGTAACTTTAGCCCACCCACTATTCTTTTCACAAGACACCCGCTCGCCGTTGTTCCATCTTAAAATTTACTGTATTTTATAGAGGAAAGGATGACAAAAAGCACAGCTTTTGAAGAAAACCTGAACTGTATCATTTATTCATCTCATTTTCAGGTGAATACTTTGCACTGTTTTATTACTTATAAGGAAAATTAATTCTAAAAGAAGAATTAAATTTTTAACGAAACACTCCTCGAAACGGTTCCACAATCATTCAATTCTTTGAAAAGTCTTTCAAAGTATGCCACACACAACAGAAAAATCCAATCTTCTTGCAATTTTCAGAAATTGCTAATTCTAGAGCTAGTGAGGTAACTTTTCTAGCCTTGTATGCCAGAGCATAAGCTCAGCCTCGTAAAAATGTGAGATTTCATTTGAAAAAAGTGATAGATTTGTCACTGATTGATTATTAAATGACTCTTTTTACAATGAAATATTACATTAAAAACTGTAATTTTTTGATCGTATTCAAAATACAAGAAGAACTAGACTTTGGGAATTATGGTTTCTGCGTAGTTTAAATTCAAATTTTTTCTACTATAACAGACGACTCGGAAACTTGTTGATACAATGAGAAACGTACACTCCCAGTAAGAAGAACCATTGATCCGAGACTTCATGAATCAACTAGCACTATTTTCGGCAAGTGCACTCGCGAAGCGTCTGAAAGATAAGCAGCGAAAAGTTTAGTTTGAAATGAAAAAATACAAGAAACAAGAGCAAACTCAAAAAAATTGGAAAAAAACGCATGCGTAAGATGGAGCATCATAAACAGCAAGAGCACTTTTGTAAAAGGAACGCCATAAGCAGTGTACCACCAGGTAGGCGCGTCCCCTGGTACCTACTGATCGTAGCCGGAGAGTTCTCAGAGTGTAGGGGGCGGCAAAGCTTTCCATCCTTTAAAAAAATAAGCTTAAACTAAGAAACTGCCTATACCAGTGACTGACTTTAGAAACTTAAACTTTGGCTTCTATCAGAGTTAAGTCAATGGGCCAGAAGCCATTAATCGCGCCGTTCGCCTGACTATTCCCTTTGACACATGGAAGTCAAAAAATCCGCAACAGCGCCTATTTTACTACCTTCATTCACACTGTAAATGCCAATTAGTTAAAGAGGACCTCCTCTAGTTCTCCTAACAAATTTACTTAGTAAAGAGATTTTAACTGCTTTTTAAAAAACCCATGACAAACAACTACACTTTTCTCGTGCAGTGCTCATCAAAACCAACAATTTCAAAAAGGCAATGTAAAATAGAAATTTACAAATTAATATATACCAAAAACTTTAGACTTCGCTCTGTAGTAAACCTGCTTAAGTAAAGATGTGTTTAGGAGTGTTTCTGCGAAGCAGGTTAATTGGAATCTTGCCAGTATTTAGGTTACGATAAAAATTCAACTGCTGCTTGCTTATGATATCGTGCTGTTACTGCAGAAATTTTGTAAATTTAGTCTTAAAGTAGCAATTGGGTTTTTGTCGCATGGTTTTTTGACTTTCCTTTCTATACCACTATTGTACAGCGTCTTCCTTGAACTTGGGCAAGTCTGTTGCGGTTTTACTGTAGGCAAAAATTTAACCGTTTTTTCTAAGTGAAACTTCATTTCGGTTTCCTTCCCGTTTCGTACGGGTTGGACGTGACTGTCAGAATTATTTATTTTGAGAGTATGGTAATAAGGGCATCCACTGACTGCAAAAAGCCTACTCAACAGGATAATTGTTTGACCGTGTTGGGTACAGAGTAGCTTTTTGTTTTATACACCTACACTGCAAAAGTGAGAAATGTCTACGCTGAATTGCTTCGTTACTCATTACCATTATTGGTAACCTGTTTATAGTTTGATGTTCAGATGAGTAACGGAAGACCGATGGTAAGGAAGTCAGATATTGGAGCTCCTCCAACTCGTATGTCGGCGGGGGCGCCTCCAGTATTGCCGGCCAGTGCTTCAAGGAAGTCATATAAAGGCCTGTAGAAATAGTTTATTGGGTTCTTGGGCTTTTTAAAGCATAACACAAGTGCAAATTATTAAATAATATCTCACTCTACAGGAGCACAAATTTGCAAGGCTGTTAAAAATGTGTTTACATATGACTGCATCTTAATATGTATTCGAATTTTATTTGCAAAATATTTTCTTGAAGCCTTAATTGAGAGTTTATAAAAACTCTCAGAAAGAACCAGAAAGTAATCGTTTGTGTTTTATTGCTCGTTTTAAGTTTGTGAATTGTTGGGGAATATTTTTTAGGTGGTTTCAAAAGTTTTGTTCGCGGTATGCCTCACTCGGTCAAGAAACGGCGAGTTGAAGAAAATCTTGATGTTGAAGAGTCGGACTCAGAACCGTCAACCGTGGCAGAAGATGCTGAGGAGGTCGAGAGTGTTAGTGAGGAGATGAAGAAAGAGATTATGCATGGAGAAAAGGCTAAAAAACGAAAGAAAAGGAGATTCCGGTAAATTAACTGCTACCTCCACTTATGTATTTTTTATTCATTGTATTTATTCTTGCAAAGTGTACGCCTTTTTAATGAATTTCTTCATTTTGAATGGAATAAAAGTAGTAATTCTTTCTGTAATTTTTATACTTTTTTAGTCGTAAACTAACATAGTTTATGTGAACTTATGTGTTACGGTTGACTTATTGCTTGTTGCGTGTTGTTTGTTTAATTGTTTTTTTTATTAGTTTAATATCCATAATTTAGTTTAACGGACTCTTCTGTGAAAAGTCGACGGCGAGCAGAAAGGAGGGCTCAGTTAGCTGCTGAAAGGAGAGAACGGGCTGAAATGGGATTGGAAGTAAGAGTCAAGGAAAATATAATTATTGCAAATTGCCTTATTTCTTGTGCTTTCTGACTATTTTTCGTCACTTAGTGATCATTGCTAGTTTTATCGAATTATCAGCATTTTCCCACTACATTCTTTAGAACGAAGATACGGAGAAAAAAGAAAAAACTCTTTCACCTTCGCCACCTCCTGCTTCGAAGCCGCCAATGGTTCGACGTTATTCACCGATGCAGTTGTTGTGTGATCATTTATTGAGGAAACTGCACGCAAAAGATCCTGAAGAGTATTTTGCATTTCCTGTTACACAGTACGTTATTGGTTCTGAAAATGCAATGTAGTTTGTAGTTTTAATACTTAGCATAACAATTGGCTGCAGTTAATGTTAGGTCCGGGCCTCAATATTCCAAGCGTCACTTTAAAGTTATCGTCATTTTCTATTATAACTTCATTGTGCTTTTTGTGCCCTTTGATGATTTCATCTTTTTTTTTTTTTTTTTGTTTGTTTTTGCTTTATTTATTGTTCCCCAGTTATTAGGAGTCGTTTTATGGGCTTTCATAATTATGCCAAGGTTTTTGATTCAGGGCTATTGCTCCCGACTATCACTTGATGATCAAGGAACCTATGGATTTCTCGACCATGAGGATGAAAATTGAAGGGAATGAATACCCAGATCTAGCAGCATTCAAGCATGATTTGGATCTCGTTGTTAACAATGCACTGGAATACAACCAGCCACATACGATCTATAATGTTGCGGCTCAGAAATTAGAGCAAATCGTCAATTTCTATTTTTCAGAGCCGCATCTGAGATATCTTTATCATTCCTTACCTTTTTGCAAGGTACTATTTTTTCGTGTGACTTCATTTCCTTCTTAAAACCTCTTATTTTCTCTGTCATAAAATAATTTTCATTTAAGGCCATTCCACTAGATAAGATGGGGCTTACTCCGAGGATAAAGGCACACCCCATCCCTAAAGTAATCAGAAAGCCCGCAATTGTTGACGATGTTACTCCCGCTACGGTCCTCAGTTCTGTTGATGTGTCGCTGCGACATAAATTGTCTTCGAGGAAACCTCTTTTAAAGAAGATTTTACCAGATACTGAAAACGGCATAGAGCCTCAGTGCCATCTTTCCTTCTTAGATAATAAAGATGGAGCTGTATGTCTCAATGTGATTAATTCAACAGGCTCTGAAGAGAGAATTATCAAAGTTGGGGACCTTGTCGATAAACTTGATGAAGGGAATCCTGGTATCTTTGCCCCGGTGGAATCAAAATCATCAGCTCAGGTAGTACAAATTTGCTGTCACTGAAAATGAAATTATCATTGTTTTCCGTATTGAACTTGAATCAGTTGAGCTCAATTTATAAATCAAGCGATTTAACAGGTGCCCATATCGTTCCTGTCTTACGATCCGTTTAGTTCATTTGCTCCTCAGTTTGATTCCACTTGGGCTACCCTTTGTGAACGCGATTCAAGGCTTTTGCTTTCTACTTACGGAAACAGGTGATGGTTGTAAAATGTCTGCGTATGGCACAGAAATTGATATCTTTTTGAAACACAAATTTACAAATTGAAGAGTTATTTTTGCTTTTTTTGTTACTTTACTGAAAACTGTAGTGCGTTATAGGGTTCTTTTGAATATATATCTCTCTTTCTTTGGAAGGAAGGGAGACTAATCTGCTTACTAAACCCGTTATTGGGTATTTTGAAATTTTTTGGAATCTGGCAGTTGAAACTTTGAAGTGCACTCTTTATGAGATGATTTTGTGGTTATATAGAAACTTTTTTGTAGAATGCTTATAACTCGCCTGTCTTTTATTTGGGGCTTTTTGGCTCAATTTTTGTTGTTTTTTTTTGTTTCGCGTCTTTAATTTGGGAGTTTTAGAAGAAAGTCTATGGCTTTATGATTTAATTTTATTACACCCGATTATTATTTTATTTCTTAACATTTTTTGATTCTGTGGGTGTTAGTTACTTTTCTAATGCAGTCTTATAAATTGCTTTCGCGCATGAAACAAGGCCTAGTAACTTTTTTACCGATTTATCAAAGTCTGTTTTGTAGCAAGGGTTTTCATCTTCGTTTTTCCAGTAAGTAGTTTTCTTTGTTACCGTATCAAGGAACTGCGGGAATTTAAGAAAATGATTATTTATAGGGAGAATGCTACCAATGCCATCTCCTTACGTCAGATAGTCGCGGATGCCGGAGAACACATGATTAAGGTAGTTGACGACATTTTGGATACCCTAACCGATGGTGAGCATCGGCGAACAATAGCAGCTTTGGAAACAAAACAAGACACAAAGGTATGAGTTTGGTTCAGTCTTAGGCAATATTGTTCAAGTTGCGCTATTTGAGAAGTGTTCCTGAAAGTTCCTCTTCAGTAAGCTTTCAATCCTTCATCTAAAAATTTTCTTTTTTTTTTTTTGATTACGTGTGCTGTACAAACTGGTATCGGTGTCTTATTTTTCACTTAAAACTTACTGTTTTGGTTATATTAGTCAACTTAGTCATCTTTAATTCAATGGACTTTTCAATAAAGTTTTCGTATTTTTTTTCAAAAACAAAATTTAGTTTCAAACTCTTGTCGGCTTGTGATTTAAACGGCTATATCATCTTCTTCTGTCCGCAACAACAGTTTTTTTCAAAAAGTTCTTTAGAAGTAAATTGATTATATTGTCTTTTAGATACCCGAGGTTACTACCACTGATGGCTTGAAAGAGCTATTGAAGGAAGTTGAAACCCTTGAAAATGTTGGCATTGACACGTCTTTTGTTTCTGATATTCGAAAGTTATACGGACTTTCGGCTGCTCCAGTTTCTCTTGAGGTGTGTTGTTTTTATGGACATAATTGTTCCTTAAGTATTTGGGCGTCATAGCAGCGAGAGTACTTATCAATTTCGTTTTAAGGATCAGTTGAATAGGACTGGAACAATGATTGGTGATTTAGCGCTTTTGCAGAAGAATCGGTTAAGTTCTGTGCCACCAACTACTGTGACTGATCAGCCATTACCAGGTAATGTCGAAATGAATCTTGCTAACAAATTACAGGACCAGCTTCATCAACAAATTACTCAGTACGCGAAACCTGCTGATATTGTCTCTGCTCCTGCTATACATAATGCAGTTGGTTTAAGTGAAGAGGTTGATCTTGATCTTTTCAATGAATTTTTCACACCAGCTACAACTGCATAAGAAATTTTTGTTATTGGTCATATTGTTTGTATAAATTGTTTTTGCATTTTATTCTGATCTCTACAAGTTACTGCTCTGCTAATTTATCAAATAAATAAAAATGGATTGATTAAGTCGGTCTTTTTCAGTTATTGCAATTTTCTCTTCTTCAACAACTTTCATCATCCAGAAACGGTAGCTCCAATGTCGTTTTACAGATGCAAAATAAACATTTGATTTTGGTTCTGGTCTTTCAGTTTTGAGTGTTTATTTTGAGAAAGTCTGTAAACCAATGTTGGAATTACTGCGTCTTGTTGCTTTTGCGCTGTTCTGCGTAGAAATTTCGTCAAGGTAATATAAATTTGTTAATCAGGCGTTCACAGGACAATTATTTATTAGATTATATTTAGGCGATTTTTAACTCAGTGTTTTTTGACCACGGTGAGTTGTTGTTTCAAAATTTTGTGTACTATGGCAATCTTGTAAAAAAAAGAATTTTTGTATTACCAAATTCCCTTCACGAATGTGTGTTTGGGTTTTAACTCTGTATTAAGAGGCTTTGTATGTGAAGTTTAAGGTGCAATTATTAGATTGCTACTGTTTTTAAGTTTATGTGCAGGATTAAGTACGATGTCATAATAATGTTGTCTTTCATCCTCTCGCACTTGCAGTGGTTTAAAAACTGCTGTAATTAAAGACTAACGACGGAGTGTCGTTTCTATCGAATGTTTTCTATGGTTAATTTTGTGCGCTATTTTTCTCAAGGTGGCTCTCAGGGACTGGTTGATAATATGACGTTGTTTTTGTGTGTGTTTTCTTTTTGTCTCTTTTTGCTACAAATGTATTAGAATGCTGTCAGAAATCCATGGTTTTTTCCTGGTTTTCCTAACTGTATTTGTGATAATAGAAATTTGGTGTGTCAAATTAACGCTTTAAGTGGGGTCAGGAAGTGAGAAGTTTGTTGGTACTTGGTTTACTTGACGAAGATGTTGACTGAGCATTAAACATTTGCATTTGAATCTGTTCGTGCTGGGAGTTGGTGTTTTTTAACGAGGTGGGAAGCTCATTTCGTATTATGGAAGATTGGTTTCAGTCGTAGTGGTTAAATGATCTCTTGTTCTGGTACTACGCCATACACTTAGAGTTGCTCATGCTTTACGCTGCTCACATGGAGAAGCTCTTGCTGTAAAAAAAATGCTTTGACAGCGACATTTGCTAGTCGAATCTGGTTGCTATTGCTGTGTTATTATTCTAATTAGTAAGCCATAAATTAGAGCCATTTGAGTTTCTTGAGCAGATGGAAGCTGCTATAAAATAAATGCTTTGCCTATTTTTTTTTCTTTGCGAACAGATAGGGGGTGCTTAATCAAATCAAAAAAAAAGGAAAAAAGGTGACTTAAACTTTAAAACTGCCTAGATTTGAAAAATCAGTTTGCAGTGATAATCCGTGTTCGACTTTTGTGCTTCACCAAGTTATTCGATTTCTGCTTATAACTTTATTTCATTACTCAACTATGTAGTGGATGTTCCTCAGCAGGTTTGAGTTGTTGTGTCGTCGGTTTTTTGGTAATCGTGTTTTCTTTCTTCTTGAACCACTGGATTTAAGAGACCAGTCCTGAGGATTAAATGGTGCAAAACTGAACGGCAACACCAACGAAACCCACAGCAATGGCTTAAACTAATTAAAGAATACTTCGTTGTTGATCCCTCCCCCAGTGTTTCTCTTGTAGTCTTCAAGTAAGAATTAGTTCGTTTGTTAAACTCAGTTCAGAATATTTTAATTGGGAAGAAGCTTCCAAATTTTGAATGATAGTTGGAATTACGTTATAGCTGTAGTACACTGGATAGGACAAACGTGTTTCGAGGAGAAAGAGATTAGTCTATCTGGTAAATGATCCGTCTTTTGGTTACAGAGTTGGCTGCTGCATTCATTTTTGGTATTCTAAATTATGACGTTCTTAAGTCTCTATTTAGTTTTTTTGACTGCAGTTACATTTCTCATATGCTGATTAGCTTTGAACCGGCTGGAATATTTAGTTATTGAAGATTATTATGTAATAGCGCAGTGAGGCTTTTAGATTACAGGAGTGATGACGTTTTAGGAGAAATCTATTCGCATGGCAATCAGCAATTGTTGCAAAAATAGCGAAATCAAACTAGATAGGTTTTTTCATGTTAAAAGGACACATTTTTTGCGGAGTCCATGATTTTTATAAAGTTTAATTTTTAATTTACCGGTATTGAAGATATGGTGAATTTTTGCTGTCTGTGTAGAATTTATTTTTGCGATATAAGTGAGCGACGTGAAGATAATAATAATATGTGCTGCCTTAAATCCTTTGATCTGTAATTTTAAATTTTTATCTGATCCTTTCCAGTTGCAAAATGCACGTCGGAAATTTCTATAAAAGTACATTTTGTGCACAAACCCATATTAAATTTTTTTATATTTATACCTCTCAATTATCAAGCGGCTAATTTTTTAATTTTGTATTCTTTGTATTGCATCGTAATCGCTGTTTGGTTATTTCACCATATTTTAATTTTATGCTCAAAATTACTATATCGTAAACATTATGCTAACATTAATAGAACTTCTTTTCAGCTATTAAAAATATGCCTCGTTTATTCCTTCCTCCACTACATAGTTTTGACACCGAAAATTTTAAGTCATAGGGAGAAGCTGAACGAAAAAATTAGGAAAAATTGTATTAGTTTGGAGAGATTAAGTTATATGCTTTTCACAAAGGCTCTTCGTTGCTAAGACTCAACAGACTTACGATTTTGAGCAAATTATTTTAAGATACTCCGTTTTCGTTTGTGGCAAGCACGAGTAGCTCCACTACAGAAAAGTCACTCCTGTATCCTTGTAATACAATTACAAGAATAGTTGTGATTGTTGAATAAAAACGGTATTATCGTATGGCAAAAACGTCATTAAAACTAGCATTTTTTAGCAGTTAGTTCAGAGGATTTTTTTTACCAAGTTTAGAGGGAAATCGGTGCTTTGCTGCAGTTTGAAAATTTGTTGTATTTAAGACCCGAAAATAACTTGCAGAACGTAAGTTTTAATTTTATTTTCAAATGAAGAAATTATTATTCGGTTCTTATAGTTTTAAAGTTTCTTACAAAAAAAAAATTTTTTTTTTCAAAGTTGTTCCAAATGATGGTAACAGTTCGCTATCAGAGGTAAAGAGTGGAGGTCCAAAATCAATTAAGGAAGAAACGCGGCAAATATTGTTTAATTGGATAAGAGTGGTACTGCTTTACAGTAATGGCCAACCTTAATACGGGAGGACTGTTATATATGTCAAAGAGTGAGTAGTAGTAGAGTAGTATGAATTCTTTTTTTTTCTCTACTGTTACCGACAAATTTCTACTTCTACAAGCTTTTAGTTGATACACATGGGAAAACAAATAAGAAAAATCAAGGAAATAAACTTTTTACGAGTACCTCTTCTACTACACTTAGATGATACTCGTCTGAAAGTTTAAAGATGGTGAAAAATCTAGGGAAATAATAAGAAAGTTAAGACTCATTTCTCGTATCATTTAACTTTCTAGTTGTTTGTTAATACGGGGACTGCTAAACGTAATTTGCCGTTTATGAAGAACAGTCTTCTTTTCACCGAACACTTCCTCTCGTTTCTTCATCAGGTCCTTGTCTATTTCTCTTATCTTTTGGCGATACTTTCTATCATTTTTTTAAAGGTTTTAGGGATGGTATTTGGGTAATGACCGAGCTTTAAGCTGTGAAGAGTTTATAGTGGTTTTTCCAAGATAAAGAGGTGTTTTATTATTGTTTTGTTAGATGGTCACCTTGATTTTGAATAGGTAATAGCTACAGTAAAAGTAATTTCTCCATTTTGTATTTATACTAGAAATTGAATGCAAGAAAGTTTCTTTCTAAAATGCAAAACCGATGGTCTGCAAAGAACTAGAGCAATTTATTGGTGCGGTCCGAGAATTCATGCGAGATCCTTATTCATGCGATATTAAAATTATTATATTCTAGAAATTACAGCTGCCTTTTCATTCCTTACATTAAAGTTTTGATATACTATTAGTGTATCCTGCACTTCAAAACTTTCATCAATTACCCCGAACTGATGATTATAAGGTGGATTTTACGGTGGCTTATCTTCATTGCAAAACTTGCTGTCAGTATGTGTCACATATTCAGTGGTAAAAGTTCCACCAAAATTTTTTGAAGCTGTGGATTTAGCTACAAGTTTTGAGATTAATGGGTTAATACTAAAATACGAAGCATTACTAGCAGTAAATTATCAGAAGCAAAAGCTTGAGAAGAATCTTAGAAATAAAACTAGTCAAAAGGATAGAAAAAGTTATTGTAATGCAGGCATACGAACGGGGTAAAATATGATCGGGCTGTCGACTATTTGAAAATGTATTTTCATTTCCAACCTTCAATTAGTTTAGTATCCAAAACATCTGTGTGATCAAGCTTGTAAAATATTTGTTAAGGAAAAGTAATTTAAAAAACTTTAACCAGTTGAGCAAAAAATTATCTGAGGCGCAACAATCTGAGTTCAATTAATCAAAAAGGTAAGTTTCATTTCCATGTACTTTTATTGAGGCCACCAAAATAAGATTTGGAAAAGGGTATGTTATATGTGGTTTTAGAAAACGACCGAAAAACATAGAATTCGAGCTTAACAGAAGTCCAGTTTTTGAATTTTAAGTACTAGGCAAGATAGAAGTATTAGGAGTTGAAAAAGACTTTTGTTTGACAGACTTTTAAGCTTGAACTCTGTTGTACTCGCTAAAATACATTTCTTGATAAAAATTTTCAAGTAGAGGTTTATGACAGTTTTTTGGAGTTAAACAGTATCTGAAAAAAGCTAGAATCTTGAATTACTGTCTGATGCTGCGCAAATGATGTTTCATTTAAACGTGTAAGTACAGCATATGAGATAGAACTTAAAAACTAAATTAGTTCAAAATAATCAAAAAATTTTCTTTATTTAGAACACTAATTGCTGACAGAAAGGTGGCCAATAACTCAGAACCTTTGAAGTTTCAAAAGGTAGCAAAAATTCTTAATAAGTATTCTATGATTAGAATACTGATTGTCAG